CCCCCACCCCCCCTATCTTTTTCTGATTACGAGTAATAATCGCCATGTGGGATCCATCTGTTGTTGGGCAAACATCAAATGAGTGATATCTGCCAAATCCATTTGGCGAGACAGCACCTTCAGCTGAGAGGTTGAGACGCTGAGAGTGTGCCGAGGCTGTTGCAGCAGATGCTTTCAGGCAGTCCAGTCTGCGCTCATCGCTCTCACTCTTTGTCCTCACCCTCCCATTCCCGCACATCTGCTCAGTCTGGTCCTCTTCCAGTCTTCTCTTTCTATTCTGCCCTTTATCCTCCCCTCTGTCCTGCCCTTGCCTCACTAAACCCATTAGCTCTGGTACACACTCTCTTATGTAAAGGCTGTAGTTTAAACACTGTATGAAGACTGGAGTGGGACAGCTGTGACCATAATGCAGCAGCCTCCCCGGAGCAGCTATATGGTTATAAATAGTTAAGATATTACTCCTGTATTCATATATAACTTTGGCCATGTAGTCAACTGAAAGCTCTTGAATCTCCTGAACGGATGCTGGACAGGGAGATGTACTCTCTTTTGAAAACAATGATTCATGGGCCCGCTGAGATATTTCGACAATTTTCTGAAGCATGAGCATGTGAGTGCACCTCATCACTCAGTAAAATAAATGTTTCCATGCACTACTCATGCATTAAACACATACAGTCCCAAATGAGTTTTTGTCTCTGTATCCAAGGGATACGGGCATTCATTCACATATGTTAGCTTGATGAATTATATGCCTCTTCTGGAATATGTAAAGAGCAATATAGTGAGGTAACCATGTGTTCGTCCTGTAACGGTGACTTTATACCTACATGCTTCAAAGAGATAAAAGAATTACCACCAGTCACCAGTTGAACACATTAGGTACCAGAATGAAGCACTGCGAACTAAGAAAAGGAGTAAACACATTATAAGAACATTTTACCTATCAAGATATAATAAAAAAAAAATTGTAAAAATAGTCCTTACCAGGTTAAATACAAATACAACAAAAACTAAGCCACTAAGAAGATAGGTGCTGCTAATCAAATGCTAATAATTGATGATTAGCAAGTGTGAGCACCTCTATAAAAGCAGAAGTTTTGGAAGTTTGCTGGTCTGGAGCATTCAGGTGTGTTTTAACATAATGCTGCAATCTTAAAGAAGCAGCTACTGCTGTCCATCTGTCTGCAAAGGGCTATAATACCATTTCCAAACAATCTGAAGTCCATCAGTCTGCAATGAGAAAGATAAGTGGAAAACATTCAAGACCAGTCCCCCAGGAGCACATGTATTAGCAAATCACCCCAAGGTCAGACCTTGCAATGTTCAAAGAAACTGCAAAGAAAATAAGAGCTTCATCTTAGATTCTACAGGCGTTAGCATGTTAAATGTTAATGTTCATTACTGTACAAATTAAAAAAAGACTGAACAAGTATTGTTGGGTTTGCAAAAGTTGCATCTGAACCAACCTCAAGACTTCTGGAGACCGAAGTGAAGATGTTTGTCCATAATGTAATCATGCACCAATCAAATGATCCAATTCCCAGAAGAAAATCTATAACAGAATGGCTGAAAAAGAAAAGTATCATAGTGTTGCAAGGGCCAAGTCAAAGCCCAGCAGTCAAGCTGATTGAAATGAGAGCTAATTTTTGAGAGAGCCCTAGATAAATGAATGACCACAAATCTCAATGAAGTAAAATGAGTGGGCCAAAAGTCCTCCACAATGATCTGAGAACCTGATGAAGTCATACAGAAAACATTTCTTTAAAGGTGTTGCTCCTAAAGGTGGCTCTAAAAGCTGATGAATCATAAGTTAAACTTTGTTTTTCACACACTGCTTCTACATTTTGGCTTACAGTACTTTTTATTAAATAGATAATTACCGGTACACATCATGTGTTATCATAGGTCAAGTGTTGCTGTTCTGAGGTTGTATTCATCTTAGAACTTGGACTATATTTGTATAATATCCTGTAATGTAATGACTGTACATTAAAGAAAAATTCATGTTAGTCAACAACTAATACAAAGTATACGTGTGATCCAACAAGTGCTGTTAAGAAATACTTCAGTATTTATTTGGTAACAGATGGCCATGCCAGTAGCAGCTGCTATATGTGAGCAACAGAGTATTAAGATTAAACCAGCTGCTGGTGTAAAAATAAAGTGAAGATAAATAAACTTGATCCCATGATACTTGGATATAAAGTCAATGCTAAAACCACAGAATTATCAGTATAGAAGTTCCTTTATATACAATCTATATCTAAACTATACTGTATCAGAGGAAATGTAGAGCATACAGTTGACAAAGTATTGCAGTGATGTCTGTTTAAACCCAGTTCTAATTGAACTTTGCAAACCTTGTTAACATTTTTTGAGATTAGCCACCATAAACTAGCATACTAGTCACACTAGTTTAAATAAGGCTACAGGCACAAAATCTTTGAGCATGTGCGCTTTTTAAATTCCACTATTCAGATTCAAGTTGAATTTGAATTTATTTATTTAAAAGGGACAGTGCAGTTTAACATAATCCAAGTACAAAACATGAAACTGATGTAACGCACATAAGTTTATAGCTATTGCTAATTTTCAACGATTGTCCCTTGTTGGGCTTACAATCAAAATAGATACGTTTTACAATAAAACATACATTTTCATAAAACCAAATTACATCATAGATACAATTACAATTAATAGACAATGAATTAAAATAAAATTAAAAATCATTAGTTAAAATGACTACATTTCTGATTTCTCTTTAACCAAACTTCAATTTAAAGGATCTGATGTCTGTAATCAATTTGATTTCGGTCGGAAGTTTGTTCCACAGATGACAAGCCTTTATGGAAAAAGCTGACTGACTAAATGTAGATCTGCGATATGATATCTTGCAGTTGCTGTTCACCATGCTCCTAGTAATACGATTGCTATCTTGTCTCTGGATGTATCTATTAAGACACTCTGGGGCCATCCTATTTATACATTTAAAGACTAATTTAAGAAAGCACAAATGATTAAAACTCTTAAAACTAAGTAGATTATATTTATTTAAAATGTGACAGTGATGCCACCGAACAGATTTTTTTATCCCTTATTTTTAAAGATTGGTTATATAAGGATACCACAGGCTGAATTGTAGATGGTGCTGCTTGGGTCCAAACTGTCACACAATATGAAAAATGAGAGAATATCATGGAATGCATAAATAACTGAGCTGCTGACGTGGGTATATAGTGCCGAATTAACTTAAAACAATTCAGATTAGCCTTGACCGTCTTAGAAATCTTCTTTAAATGCTTCTCAAATTTAAGATGTGAATCTAAAATTATTCCTAAAAACTAAAATGCTTTAAAAAACGAACCAACAGAATAGGCAAAATTTACAGAAATGCCACCCTGAGGAGGAGACACTTGTAAAATTGACCAAAATTATGAATCACTAAGTTGCTGATGTTTGCAGAAACAGCTTTGTAATTAGGTTTTAGTTGCTGTACACAGTAAGCAACCTAGGATAGATACCTTTTTTTTATTACCAGTGACACTGTTACAAAAAGCATTATTTATTGTCCACCAGAAATGGCTCATTAACATGCTGTTTTAATGTTCCAAAGTATGTTCTTTGGAGTGCTTTATGTTGTTTTTATTTTTCAACCTAACAACACACAAAAACAACAAAATAAGACCATTTAGTGAGCACAAATTACATCAACGAGTTAGATACTAACTGCCTCACTGATGTGATCTAACGAATTTGGAATCAATTCATAGTTTCTTAGCATTAACTAATGGCCATTCACAAAGTGTATAATAGCTCTAAAAACTTTACTTTTCATACAACATACTTCAATACTGAAAAAAGTGTGTCCGCTATAAAGCTAGTGACAAATGAGTGAACAAGGGCATCGTTTTGAACATAGCCAGTCTGGTTTTACTGATGAATTCATCAAAATTGTGTCACATTTGAATGAAAAATGTAAGCAAAAGTCAAAGTTTGAGGGATTTTTTTCTCTCATGGTGAAATAAATTCTATGGTAGAGCTATATTTTATATCTGTGTATATGTGTGGATTTAAAGTTGCTTCCTAAGGCGGCAGTTGTGATTCTTTTTCTATCCTCTAAATTTAGCAGAGTGTTGTGTTGTAGTTGTTAATTAACGTTGTAATTCAGCAGGGGAGTAACTATACACAGCCTTATTTATGTTTATTTACACTAACACTCTGTAGGTGTACACTGTAAGAACCCAGAAACTATAGATTGTCAGACCAAAATCCTCATCTTTGCAAAGAAATACTTAGAGTATATATTGTGGATATAAATTCTAGCCCAGTTATTATTCGACTAATTAAAAGATAACCAAAAAATAGCATCCTTGTTGTTGAACACTTCCTACAACTTTTGCAACAAAGGATTACCTTTGTTATTTTTGTTCCTATTTCTGTCACACTGGCATATGCGATGTCTCTAACCGCTGTTCTGAACAAAATGACTTTTTAATTCTGCTAATTTTGGTTCAATATGATACAGAAAAAAATCATCTGTCACAGCTGAATGAATTTCACCAATTTTTCGAGACATAATATTGCAGCTGCACAGCATCAAACCACTGCTAGTCTCACATAGCCAGATTTATCTCCACAGCAGTGTGTCAGAGCTGGAGAAATGGTGTGACTGCACCCATTATCTTTCTGCTACAGGGTGGAAAAAAGGCTTTTCTGTTGCAAGAAGAACCAAGTTGGCCTTATTACATGATCCAAATCTTCATCCAGACTTGCAGTTTTTAGCATGTGCTGTAAGTTGGCAGCGCAGTGGTTGCTGTTGTTGTTTTCTGTTGTGAAAGGAGTTCACTTACAGATAGCACAAGAGTTATGCAGTGTGATTGTAAATATAGATGTAGAGTGTGGCCACTGGAAGGTTTATATCTACACTCTACATCATGCAAGTCACGCCACTAGCTCACTTTAGTTCACTGACGTTTCCCCTTTCCTTTTTGTCTCAGTAACCCTGACAAGGGCCTTCAGTTCCTGATCTCAAGAGGCTTCATCCCAGACACGCCCATCGGTGTTGCCCACTTTCTGCTACAGCGAAAGGGCCTGAGTCGACAAATGATTGGAGAGTTCCTCGGCAACAGCAAGAAGCCCTTCAACAGAGATGTCCTAGAGTGAGTAGCCCACAGGACTGCAGATATTGATTCCCCAAATCATTTGGGGGGATCTTTTCTCAGTAATCTATCCTTTTTCATTTGCGGTCATTTCATTATAGTTTCCATTGTCATAAGCACATCTGAAATAAGCTCAAATTGAAGTTATAAGATCCAAAATTCAAAAACGAGCTCTTGTCTGATTCTTCAGCTCGTAAATGTAGGTTGACTTGTAGGGCAAGAACTACTACAGAAATTAAAGGAGGTTGACATGAAGCAAAAAAAAAAAAAACATTTTCCTGGCCTAATAACATTTTACTCATCTTTATCACATCCATGTTAAAACTGTTGTTAATATAGAGCAGAAGTGAAAAACAAGGAACAGTTTATCTGTGATCTGATAGCATAAATATTACTTTTGAGATTTCATAAACTTCCATTTCCATTCAGGACATAGGGTAGATATACTGAAGTGTGGGAGATAAGGCACTGCTTTATCTGTGTGTGTGTTTGGTACTGATACGTGTTGGGCATATTGAGAGGCTGCGTCTGACTGGAGTGTTTGGTTTCTTGCTCACTCCTCTCCATAGCTACTTGTATGCTACGTGAAAACATTTTGGCTGACTCCTTATGAAATCTATGGACTGATAATACAGTAGTTTGTAGTAGCACCAGAGTCATGGGCTCAAACTCAGGTAGGGTCCTTGTGTGGAGTTTGCATGTTAGGCACATAGAGACTGTGTAATTTGATCACTGGCCACTAGGTGAAATAAGAAAACCTCCTTGTGACTGCTTTCGTCACTAGCAAAGACAGCTGCATTCATTAGCTGGTCAGCTGCAACACATTAAAGTGTATATAAAGGTAGCATCACTGTAGTTTAATTCTGTGTAGTCTCCACTTTTCATAATAACTGCTAACAGCAGAAAGTCTTTGCACTGCATGTAGGCCATAGCACAGGTTTGTTTACTGAGTCCTTCCGTCTCTGTGGTGCCGACTTGGCAGCTTTCCAATGGCTGTCAGTGAGATAAAACATGGCTCGCTGCTGAGACCAAAAGTAGCTCTTTTAACATTTTCCCAATAATTAGATTCTATTTAAATAATACAAAACTATCAATCTGATTTCGATTGGATAGCTGAAATTAAACCAAAAACTAATACCAGGATATCCTGGTGGTTTATCACTCATCTGGAAGGTTCATGTGGCCACTTTCCATGGTGCACCACAGCAGCGTCTTTAGTCTGATCATCTTGAGTGCAAAATCAGGCTTTTAGATATCTTTAGATATCTGAGTTCCCACTGTGTGGTTCACTTCAAAATGCAGGATCCTAAAACTCCAGCTGTATGGCATCAATAACATCAAGTCTCAGCCCAGATAATTGTGATAACAGGAAGACGCTTTTCCAGTCCTGACAGAGCTCCTTGAGAGTTACAGAAGCCATCATGCGATTGTTTTTAAGATCTGAAAAATGACTCTTTTCATCTGACGTTAATATTTGATGTAGACATTTCTTGGTCTTTGTGTACAGGTATATTCATCTAAAGAACCTCTCAAGAACCTTACAGTCCACTAAAATTCATTTGGAAGCTGAATGGATTTGCATTTTGGTTACGAATGCTTTTCAAAAACAAGTGTTATGTACAACAAAATATAGATACAGGAGATAAATGAAGAAAAAAACAAACAAACAAACACATGAACTTTGGGGTTTAGAGAACAAGAACTAATGTCTCCTTCATATGCACACACACACACACACACACATACACACAACTCACTTCCCCCTGCAAGATTAATTCCAGGTCATTAACTTTATTGCCTTTTATTTGCTTTTAAAGTACAAAGATCCCTCTCCCGTCCTCGTCTTCAGTTATTTCCATCTTTCAACACCTTCCTTGCTTTATCTCACTAATTGCCTCTACTCTGTTAAATTCTGTGCTTCACCAATTATGTCTAAATTTGCATATCAGCTCAATGAGGTTGTGAAGATCTTTCTTTTTATCTCCCGCCTTTTTGTACAAGTTACAAAACCAAGAACGGGCTTAGTCTTTGCAAGGTCAGACAAACACTCCATAGCACTCTACCAAGTTGTTCATTCCAGCTCATGCTCATCTAATATCCATATTTCCTCAAAAGGACACCGTCATGGTTTCAAAGACATTTTATTAACAGGAATATGCTCTTAAGGCTTCAAGCTCAAATTCACACCACAGATATATTCTCAGCGCAGGTGATATTGGTATATATATATATATATATATATTCCCTGCAGCACTCAAACAGCAACACTCGGGGTGAAAGTGATGTTGAAGAGGACCGTGATAGAGTGAAAAGTGTGCGAGAGCACTTTCGATAAAGTGTGCAGTCACAGGAGAGCGGGTGAGGGATAGCAGTCTAATGTGAAAATCACTCATGGTGATTTACTGAGCCTGAATGAGTCGGTGTGGATATGTGAGTCTGCGTGCGTGTGTGTGTGTGTGCGTGTGTGTGTGCACGTGTCTGCAAGCATGTGACTTTTCAACTACAGGGAGGCTGTATGTGCATGTGACCTAGCCTTGCATCAATATGTGGTTATGGTATCTCCCTCCTCTCCTCATAAAGCAAACTAAGTCTCATTCCCTTCACATTTCTTGGTGCATAAACAACAATAGTTAAAGTGTCTCAAGACAATTAAGCCAATTTGTGGTTATAGATTTGGGTGCCAGAAAATGGACACCCCAAGGACTCATTTACTGATAACACGGTGTACTTGTTTAGCATGAAAAATGAGATCTTGTTTTCAGCCTGTCATCTACTCATTGGCTGCTTAAAATATGGCTCCATCTGGCCTTTTATGTCTTTTTATTTTCATATGTATTTGTATGCATACCTGCCATCGCAGCTTTGTAAACATAAAGTACAGTTTAAGTGGCGTTCTGCAGACAGATGTGTCTATTTCTCTCCAAGGCGCTGCAAGCGAGTCAACGATAGTGTGTGTTTGTGTTTGTGTTTTATGTGTGCGTGTGTTTTCCCATGCAGATGTGTAATTATGCCAGAGTGTATGGGGAGAGATGTAAGAGGGGAGGAGAGGGCTGATGTACTTAGGCTAAAGAGCATCTCGTCTGACATTACATAAACAAGGAGTGACAGCCAGGGAAGAAGGGAGAGAGAGGTGGTGGAGCAAGGAAGTGAGTCATGAAGAGGGCGATCAGGGTGGTCTGACAGTCGACGAGTTGATAAAAAAGACGATCAATCCAGGCTCACTGCACATAGTATGAGCTTAACTTTTATGAGCCTTTAATTTTTCTCTAAGTGCTATAATTTGTTGACAATATGCACAATTTGACCTGTCTGTTAGTTAAGTGTAATTATTAATTGCACTATCTCTATTAATGCAGCATTGAGCAATGAAGGTCAGAAAAATATCTGTGCTGTGCACTCTCTAAAACCATGCAGGTTAGGTTTCATTGGTATATCTAAAAATGCCCATGACTTTGCATAATTGATCGCGATCGTGGCTCAAGAGTTGGGAGTTCGCCTTGTAATCGAAAAGTTGCCGGTTCGAGCCCCGGCTTGGACAGTCTCAGTCGTTATGTCCTTGGGCAAGACACTTCACCCATTGCCTACTGGTGGTGGTCAGAGGGCCCAGTGGCGTCAGTGCGCCCCAGGGTGGCTGTGGCCACAATATAGCTTGCCATCACCAGTGTGTGGATGACTGGATGCGTAAAGCGCTTTGGGGTCCTTAGGGACTAGTAAAGCGCTTTACACATCCAGTCATCTACCATTTTGCATAAGATGAGCAGTGATGCATAGATAATAAAAGGTTAGATAATGATCGTGTCTGCTATTTGTGCTCATAAATGACCCAACCAAGGATACTGGAAACAAATGTATGGTAATTTGTTACCATTTAAGGCCAACCTGTGGTGTCCTATTGGTGTCTATTTGCTTAGCTGTACATTTAAGCAGAAGGAAAGACTGAAAGATGTAACCAACATTGTAACCATGGAAATGCAGTTGTGTACAGTCTGAAATAACTTAAAAGTGCATCATATATGAAAGAATAGCAACTTTTTGGCTGTAACAGCTTCTTTCTATTTGCTGAAAAAGGAACAGAAACAATGTTTTAATCATGCTTAACATTCAACTGATTAACTGTATATAAATGATAGGCTTAGCTAAGTTTCACCCAAGATTCATTGTGAGGCTTCAGGCTGAACAAATTTGTCTTGGTTTTTTGAAACTAGATGTGACAAGCAAGAAGTTACCTGAGTGAAACCAAACTGTCAACTGAAAAGTAAAACATACCCTGCTTTAGTTTAAATCTTGATTTGATCTGAAACTAGCAACTGACTCCCTAAATTCATCAGTAAAGTAATTACTGAAGTCACAACGCATCCTGGAGCCTTTTGACCAGCCAGCTAAGTCTCTGTTCAAATGCCCAAAGGGGACACAAACACACTTTTGACCTGGAGACTCTCGCCCGAGATCACTTAAGTTTTGATGTCACTCACTGTTTATGTTCATTTATACTTGGTTGGTTATGTTGCACCCTGGGAGGACACCAGGGCTTTATTTCTGTGCTTTACAGGAGCATAAAGCAACACACTGCTAAAAAAAACTAGCTTCTCTTGTTAGTCAACAAGAAGAAGAAACTTTTCTTTATCTTGTATGGCTTGAATTTCTACACCATTACACACTATTAGTAGCTCTAATGAGCTGACTGGCAGAATTATTTCGAGATTTACTGCAATTAATAATTGGAATTAATATTAATAAAGTTGATAGCGGTGTTGCTGTAAGTGGTAATAGAGATGTACAGTAAATCAGTTAGTAATGCTTTTGCACAGTACTGTGCAATTGTTTCTGTGTATGTTGCTTACAAGGAGCCAGACTTATCATTTTTAAGGTAGTCTTTAGAAATAGTTCTCCAGGTTTACTGAAAACTGTCTTACTTTGTAGACTGGCTGCTTTTTAACCCATTTTCAGTCCATTTCTTCTACCCAACCTTTTCCGTAGGAATGCTGTTTTGTTGGTTAAACCACTTAACACTGACCTATAAATCCATTGGTGTTATGGGTCTTATCAAAACAAATGTTAACATTTGATTGGCAACAGCTTCATTTTCCAGCATGACAATGATCGCAAACACACTGCCACTGCAGCAAAAGCATACATGGTTAGAAAAAACTACACGCACGCATGCATGCACGCACGCACGCACGCACAGGGGAACGCTATGAGTCGTGGATCGGCCTCCCCAAAGCCTGGACATCAAGAACTGAAGTGATGTTGTCGGTGTGAGGAGAATTTGCTGTTCTCTGCAGTGCTGTGTGTTATACTGTATGTGTATGGCAGGGCTGAAGACTCAGCTATCTGATGCTTTTCTGCTGGAGCAGCATGTGTCACAGTCAAGTACTCACCTCATTAACTCCCTTTGTTCACAGTAATCCATCATAATGTAGAGTGTGTCTGTGCATCTCCCTATTTCCCGCAGTACTGCAAGTAGAAAAGATCAGAGGCAAAGGATAATGTCATGAACCCGCTACTTATTTTATTTATTGACGATTTTACTATCAACGCTATCTTTTCTCTTTAAAGCATTTAATCCCTACTACTACTACACTACAACCACTAAGTGTAAGTTAATTAGTTAGTTAATCTTGAATTGGTATGGGCAGGATAAATAATTATAATTGTACCTCAATAGGCAACCTAACATCAGGCTAGGAAAACTTTAACCCTGCCCCCATGGTATTTCCAAAGTCACCTTCCACTTCAAACCCCATTTCACCTTCAAATTGCCCTTCTTATATTTATCTCCCGTGAACTCATTGGACAGGATATTTTGCTTTTTTAATTAAAGTAATTAAGTTTGGGTTGTCAGGTAATAGGAGGATTTTCTGCTCTGAGGCATTGTGTGTGCATATGTGTGTGTAAATGTGTGTCTTGGCAGCTGTGGCACAAGAAGATAGCCGGGCCCAGTCTTATCCTTGGTGTCCGTGCGTGGCTAATACTTGCAGTAAGCAGAATGGTGCTGTGACTGGGAAGCAGATGAGTGAGAGTTTTGCATCCTTTATCTTAGGTGTTCATCCACACGTTCATCCAGCCCACCAGTGAAGGGGCAACCTCTACTCAACCTCTAGTGAATCTGGCTATAAATTGTAATATATTTTCCTATCTCCTATGCTCTTTGCTTATCTCATTGCTGCCTCTCTGTGCTTCACAGTTGTGTGGTGGATGAGATGGATTTCTCAGGCATGGAGCTGGACGAAGCGCTGAGGAAGTTTCAGGCCCACATTCGTGTCCAGGGGGAAGCCCAGAAGGTGGAACGTCTCATCGAGGCCTTCAGGTACTTACAGTACAGCTAGCCTTTCACATAAGTTTTTTTTTTTTTTTAAGAAAATGTTTATCAGTCGGTATGCCCATTAAATAGGGAGCACACCAGCTTCTGTTTCCACAGAGTTACGGCTGCTGGTTTTACATGTAATTATTATCAAGTTTGTTTCATACCTCATCTATCATCTTGGCATTGCAGACTAAGGTACACACTACAATATCCATAAGTCTTGGTGGTCAGGGGAATAGAGGAGGGCATGAATAATAGAACAAAGAATGGATTTGTAGTTGTGCAATAGCTCCTTATATTTGAATCAGAATTTAAAAGTAGCAGTAGAAACAGTCACTTCAGCTTCCACAAAGTACACAATTCTAGGCTAAGTAATAGGAGAGTCTGGGAATTTGGGGAAAATAGGATAATATATATATATATATACCTGTTCTTTCAAAGAAAATATATACTAACTAGATATTGAAAGAATTGAAGTGTGAGTGATGTCACAATGACATGATTAACTGAAATAGCTGAAGTTCTGAAGTTGTATCGTCTTGCTTTAAAACTCCATTCACTGCACCCTAAACCTCTCCTCATTCAGGTATCTAGCCATAGTCATGTATTTAAGTTAGGATGCTATTTTGTAACATCTCCAAAAGCAAAAGTACAAGACTAAAAGTATAGTTAAAAGTGTAAGCTGCAAAACTTAAAATGTCCAGTTAATGTGACTACTACACTATGCAACCATGTTTGTCTTCTATGATAAAGAAGGATTTTTGGAATGATTTTTAAGGTTTTCTATTTATTTATTTATTTATTTATTTATTCTAAAAAAGAAATAACAAAAAGGAAAGAAAAGAAAAAAAAACTGACTTTTAAGCTCTAAAAAGTCATGCAGGCTGAATAGAGTTCTGTAGAAAAATCGTGAGCCATCACCCCGTATTTCTTTATATTTTGCCTCTAATAATTTTTTAAGCAATTTTTCTGAAGGTCTTTCTTTGGATATTGGCTGCATTTTCACTCGTTTTCTGCTGACTGTCCTGGATGATTTTGCCTCTTACATGTGGGTTCGGTCACAGTATTTTGGTGCACAATTATGTATGTAGCAGTCAAAACTTTTGATCATGTTTAAATGTAAGTCACCCTTCATATTAAAAATTCAACTAGAAACAGTGTTTATTAACCAGCTAACTGGACTAAAGTCCATTAGCTACTTACTACCAATGCTGGTTGACAAAATCAGGATAACAACCTAGTAATGAACCTGCTGAATTCAAGGAGAAGTTTGATTTCATGGTCAATCAGATAAAAACCGATGGCTAAACAGGTGTAGGAAGGAAAAGAGCCACTGGGGAATGAATGAACAGCCAATTCTTACTGAAGAAGCAAGCAAGAACAGAGAGCTTTAGCTATGTATGGCTAATATATTTATTTATGTTCAGAAACATTGTTGTGCAGAAAGAATAAAGGCAACAAAAGAGCAGGATATGAATATTTATCATCTTGAATGTTATGTTTTCCTCATTTGGCAACATTTTTCCCCCACTGAAATGTAACTTTAGGTGTGACTAGAACGAGCTTAAAAAAAACTAACAAATTATATACCATCACTCAAGAAATTACTTCAGGGCCAGACTTGTTGTTGTTGTAATGCTTTAAGATGCAGTTCATGCAATTTACAAGTGTTTTGATCATGAAATATTCTTAAAGAAAGTACCATACAGAAAAGCAAACATGTGAATTTGTTGTCTTTTTTTTTGGGTGAGAAGCAAGGTTAAGAGGGGACAGAAAAACAAGTATATAACAGTTCAGTCAGAGAACTTTGATATTCGTGCATGCAAAGAAACAGGCACACACAAAGCGGAGTAGTCTTGGATTGCCATACATGAAGATTATAACATATATGCCACTTTCCCTTCTGTGTGGCTGAACTAAAAAATGTTGACAATCCACTCCTCCATCTGAATAGCGAGGCTGTGTATAATTTCTGGCCACAATTTGCGACAGGGTGACAATTTGCGGTGCAGCTGTGGCTCTGTGTGTTAATGCTAACTGTTTGCCATCGCCCCTCTTGAGTAACAACCACCTGCCACAATTGTCAAGGTTCCCAATAGGGAGAAACATGGCTGCATTGTCATAAGCAGTGGGCAGGGAGGTTGGCACTGCTAATGTTTGGACATCAGGCTGGCTCTGCGTGCTATCAGGAGCAGGAGAGAGTAGGAGGGAGGAGGGGCTAAGGAGACAGAGACTAGAAAAGGAAGGGAAGAAGGGGAGAAAAAGGAAGGAGGGAGGATGGTTTATAAATATCCAGCGTTGCATAACCGCCACTGCCTCTCTGTGCCTGCCTTTCCTTGCTCCCAGGCTTTGAAATGCCTCCAAACACACACGCACACACACACACAACACAGAAAGAGAGAAGTCTCAAAAGTAAGTGAAGGGGATTTGAAGCAGCAGTGAAAAACAGCGAGGGGAAAAAGTGGAAAAACACCCAGTAGCCTCAGTATCTGCTGCGTCAGTGTACTAATGAATGAGCACATATGAATCATCTCCAAATGCTGCAGATATATTCAGTTTATGTTTTCCTTCTTGTATTACAGTGTGAAATCTGTATATATTTACTCACTATGTAATCACTATGTTATGTATCTGCTCTGTATATTACAGTCTTCATCGATGAAGACCATGCATCTTGTATAATTTCGCACTAAAATCCACCCAAGGAGCGCATGATGATGTATTACACCATTCAGGGCAATTTGAAAGAAAAGCTAAATTGCCAAAAACTGACAAATCCATTCAGCGAGAAGCATCATATGTCATTTTACCCTCTCATTTTCGGTTTTTACTTAGTCATTTTTCCATGCCCATCTGTGAAGAGTAACAACATACTCAGAAAGCGACATAAATTGAGGTTTTTCTCACTGCATGGTGCAACATTAGGATTCACAGACAAGGGTGTAATTATTGGTTGCTGACAAGTCACGGTTTTCAGACAGCGAGATGTGAATGAGCATCTGTGTGCCCTGTGATTATCACACTAAAGCAAATACAGTACGCGGGACGCCACAAATACGCAAAACATTTCATTTAAGGCACTCAAACATATATCTAGACATGCACATGAGTAATCATTAAGACTGAGCCCTAGAAAGCACATTCAAAGCTGGCACAGAAAGCGTGAAGCTACATGCATGCACACCTATATAGAATGTGGGTAAAGTAGGGGAGGATTAACTACCTTTCTAGCAGACTCTTTGTGCACACACAGTTATCAACTGTGTTGTAGAATAATGCTGATGGCAGTTCGACAATTTATTTTTAGATGCTACATGAGCTACCACATTATGGTGGGTGTTTTTCAAACCATTATTGTAGTAAAACTCCAATTCAAAAAAACTTGATGTTGTGTAAAGTGTAATTAAAAACAGAATGCAGTGATTTGCAAGTCTCATTAACCCATATAATAGAATATAACGTGAAATGTTTGAAAAAATGTATCATTTTGAGAAAAAAAGACAACGTAATTTTGAATTTGATGACAGCAACAGGTTTCAAACAGTTGAGACAGAGCAACAAATAGCTGGAAAAGTAAGAGATACTAAAAAGAAACAGCTGGAGGAACGTTCAGCAACTAATTAAGTAATTAGCAACAGTCATCAATACCATGATTGGATATATACAGAGCATATTAGAGGGGCAGAATTTCTCAGAAGTAAAGTTGGACAGAAATTCACCAATCTGCAAAAAACTTTGTCTACAAATTGTAAATCAATTTCAGAATAATGTTCCTCAGCATAAAATTGGAATGACTTTGAATATCTCATCATCTGCAGTAATCATGATCATCATGATCATCAGTAGATTCAGAAAATCTGGAGAAATCTCTACGTGCAAGAGTCAAGACTGAATCTTGATTTTGGATGCCCGTGATCTTTGAGCCCTCGGGCAGCACTGCATCTTTCTGTCACCGAAATCACTCAGTGACCACTGGGACACTTCCAGAAATCATTCTCTGTGAGCACAGTTCACAACAAACTGCCGTCTAATAAAGCTTATTTGAAATAGGCCGACGTAAAGTGAAAAACTGTTCTGTGGTCAGGCAAATCAAAGTGAGAGGAGGAGTGAAACCCAAGATAACCCGTCTTTGATGGTTATGGCAGTGCATTAATGTCTATGGAATTAGCAACTTGCACATCTGGAAAGGCACCATCAAGCTTAAAAGACATACAGGTTTCGAAGTAACATATGTACCCATCCAGATGTTGTCTTTTTCAGGGAAGAAAATGCATATTGCAGCAAGACTAAACCACATACTATTACATATCAGCATCATGGAATGAAAAATATTGCAAAAATGACCCAGGCCTGTTGAGCATCTGGACACCGATTTCATACAAGAATGGGACTAATCTCAGCAGTTTGCAGATGTTAAGAAACTGTTCAAATAAAAGAAAGAAAATTCCTTCTTGTAAAAAAAGACGGCATGCTATACAGTGGTAAACAACTTTTATGAGGTCAAAATGACTTTATGTTTCTGGTAAAATGATAAAATGATTTGATATATTTTCTGTGCTTGTGAGATTTACAAATCATTCCGTTCTGTTTTCATTTAGAATTGGAACAACTTCCTAACCTTTTGATGGCGTGTGTTGAGACTGATTGCATTGTTGCATTTAAAAAGACGTAGCACTTCACAAAAAGCAACTCTGTTTACATATGCAGACGATAAGTAACGTGTCCCAGGAACAGTGCAGTGCCGTTTACTGTATGCTTGTATTCACAATAGGGACTGGAGGAGAGTGCAGAAACATGTCTGAGTGCAGGGGCAAAGCCGCAGGGTGACATTTACTGATGTGTCTCAATGACATCACCTGAAAGAAACCTCAGGAAGCAGCACAAGGAAAATGTACGCACTTGGATTTGTTATGTATTTATTTATTAATCAGAAGTACCAGAATGCTGCTCCCGACCTTTTCTGTGCTCTTTAACCCCTGATCTTTACTTAAAAATGCTCTCTAGCAGGGCTGATAAATTCATGATTACTGTACATATATATAGATATATAGATATATAGATATTTCAACAGAAAGCCCACAAGGTCCACACACACCTTCTTTTTTTAATCTATATATGCCTTCCATATACATGTTGGATCTTCTTTTCTATTATTCATCACCTAACCATGAACTTATTTTTACACCACACCACCTTCTAGGCTTCTAGGAAGACATATAATGTATGCAAACACCTACCAGGCATCTAGTAGGCATCTACAAATCTACACTCCAGCACAACACTTCTTATACTTAGGAAAGTAAATCAAACTGAGCCTTTGCTTGAAGAAAAGGTGCCTAGGTAAGGGATTTCACATTTCAGTATTCAAGTATTTTCTCTTCTGCACAATGACAACCTGCAAAAAATTCATCCAACTAAGCCCGCAAACGTCAGACAGTGATTAACTGCAGAATAGGACTTGACTTTTTCAGGATTTTGGGGTGCTTAGTGCAAGTAACAGAGAGGATGAAACACTTAAAAAGAAGGTCAAATCCTTTGTTTTTGTCAGCAACATCACCCTCAGTTTCTAGTGTGATGCATGACCCATATAAGTATTCATTCCAGTGGGAGAAATGAGTTTTAGCAGAGCTCACACAACCTCACCAACGCACTGGTGCTGAGGGGCAGCTTACAGCTTCATGTGAAGCCACCGGCAAAATTAAAGCCATAACTCTCATTTCTGTGTGACACTCTTATGCTAATGTTGTAATTTTAATAGCATGCAGTGTTTTAAAAAGTGTCTCCTGTGTATATTTATATATGTCCTATTTCCTGTCCCACCCTCTGTCATTCCTACATGAATAAACCATCCTTACCCCCAACTTTATTTATTTTACTCCCATTCTATATTATCTTACATAAAACATTACATGTTTTACTGTTTTATGTCCCTGTTTTTTCCTTTTCCTTTACACCCACAGTCAGCGGTACTGCATGTGTAACCCGGATGTGGTGCAGCAATTTCACAATCCAGACACCATCTTCATCCTGGCCTTTGCCATCATTCTGCTCAACACCGACATGTACAGCCCGAATATTAAGCCCGACCGGAAGATGCTGTTGGAGGACTTCATAAGGAATTTACGAGGTAAGGGACATCAAGGTCACGTTGAGGTCGCATTACGGCACAGCTTGCATCTGAAGATGAGCATTAAGGGAGTTATAATGACATTAATTACCTGACATAATCAGCTCAAGCCGGTAGGTGAATGTTTTAGGTCGCTTGAGAAGAGGAATGGTGGTTTTTGAGTTGCATAGTTGACAGTGTGGCCTCGTTGTAAATCTAATACTCAGCTTTCTGTGTCCAACCTGATGTCTTTGCAAGGAAGAACAAGGAAGAATTTCCTTCAGACTCAGGATAATGGCCACAAAAAGAAAGTTGACTAAAAAGCACTGGTTTTCTTTTTAGCTTTATGTCATTAGTACAGTTTATGAATATACTGTGTATGTTGCTTTTGTTTTAATCTTCTTTAATTTGCCATCTTATACTTTGACTATTTTATTATTCTTTTATATCATATTTTTTATTTCTGCTTTGAATTTGACAGATTTAGTCCTCCATAGGTGCAGCAGTCGCTTGAGAAATGTTTCCATCACCTTGTTGAATCAATGCCATGAAGAATTAAGGCAGTTCCAAAGATAAAAGGGTGTCTAATGCAGCACAAGCAGGGTGTGCAGATCTAGAACAATAATCTATAATCTATGCTCTGTCGCACTATGCATTATATAATATAGCCTATAGAGCAAGGGCATTGAAAGAGACAAGCAACATCCCATAAGTTGAGTTACATGCGGCCTAAAATTAAAACAGTCAGAAGGAGATTTTTTTTACACAAAGTTTGTATTTCTCTAGATGAGAAAGCTGCTAAATCCTCTGCCTCACAAGTAACTTCTGGTACAGATTCCTGTTGTGGAGCCAATCCCACATGACTCAGAAGAACTGAGTGTCCAACAGTTTCAATCAAACCTCCCTGCATAAATTCAGGGGATAAAGATTAGGTTACATTTCTCTTCCTGCCTGATTCGCTTTACACAGTCACTCAGAGCGGCACCGACAGAAAGCACCTGTAAATCTCGTCTCCAGTATGCAGACAGATGCTCATTCGGCAAGCGCTGAGAAAGAGACATGAGCGTCACAGTTTTGCTCTCACTCTGTGCAATCAATCAGAGATTGCCGAGGTCGATGCAGAACAACTTTAATAGATTCATCCAGACTGTTCCTCACAATTAAATTAAGTTGGAAAATCAATTTCAACATCTCATGCAAATTAAGATACGCCACTCTCTCTTGGCCGCTCTATTTGTCTTCTGCTCCTTTTTTTTCTTTGTCTCCCTATCCATTCTTCTGTTTTGTTTTGATTTCAGTCACAGTATTACGCTGTCTGTTTATTCATCTGTCTTTACTTGTTTATATTATGTTCCTCCTCTTTTCTCTTCCACTGTGTCTGTCAAACATATTGATGGAAGAAAACATGCAGTTCACTCAGCTAATTGGCTAAGGTGAAAAGCAATTATGGACCAGTAACCAATAGTAATGAAGAACTATAGAACATTCATTATCTCAATTAAAACGGACTGTCAGTGTTAAAGCATTCCACAATAGGGCAACACAATATACACCAGCTTAATTAATCTAGTGACTCAACTCACTGAAAAACTGTAACATCTTAGTTATTGGATTCTTTTCTGGTTTCTCTTTTTTTTGGTGGATGGTTCTAGTATTTTCAGAGCCCATGCATTTCCCTTCCTAAGGTCTTGTAGAGGGCTGACATTAATCAGTACACCTCATGAAAAGCCAGATTTAAGCTTGAGGATGATGAGCAAAAAACAAGATAAAGAGTTGCAAGGGAAACATGAGACTCAGACTAAAGGAATTTCAGGAGAGAAATTTAGTTCAGGACTGTGGTCAGTACTGATGTTCGTCCCAGGATATCTGATATAAGAATCACTCATTTAAGCCTCCTAAACTGTTCACTGACTCATCTGTGACATATCTGATATTTAATTCTGGGTGATTAAAATTATGATTATGTGAGCACTCTTCACAAAGAAAGGAGAGAAAGAAAGAAATGAGAGGCTTTTTGAAATAGTGGCCACAAAACAACAAGTGCCTCTAATGTGTACTGGTTTGTCTGGATCAGCTTCTGGTGTTTACAGTTGCTAAGCAACTGTAAACACTCTAGCCCTTGAGGTTAGCTAGCACATTTCTATTGACAGAGATGATTAACACTGAAAATCTCACCTTCAGTTCTCGTTGAAGAATGTTCAAACCCTGTTAACCACATTAACCAAAGTATTTTGTCATTCCGAATCATTTAGCGTTTGTTGTTGTCCTACGGGTGGTGCATTGCTTTCTCTTGCAGAAAAACACTAATAACTTCCTGTCCTGTACTCCTGGAGTCTGGGTCGGGTATGAGTCTACATACTTGCACCTCTCTAAGGCTGTGTTAACAGAATGCTGACATCTTCATGATGATGATAAACCCTAAGAAGTCTGACAAGTCGTTAGCCATTGAACATGTGGTTTTATACCACAGAAAACCTTCCATTTTAAAACATAGTGTGACCAAGATTTACAAAACAGAATTACATTTTTTGATCATCGTGACACATAAACTCAGCATTTAAACACTTTAATGCTGGGTTTATGTGTCATGATGATCATATAGCGATCAAGTCAGATAGCTGTTTTCCCATAGACATCTATATGACCAAACGTAATTTCATAACTGTCATAACTATCACCATCTGGTAGCCTTTGCATAGAAAGCAGGTCTAAGCTACTTCCACCATGGCTTTATTGTTTAAAGTGCGTTTAAAAAAAATACTATTAAAAAAAGTACACATAATGTCATGTCAATCAATTTAATTGTTGTTGAGCTACTCTGGATTGGCTCAAAGTGGTTGCTGCTAGCAAGGCTAAAAACACTATTTAAAGTCCTTAAAAGTGGCAAAGAAAAAGAGAGAACACGAGACAATCAACAGCAAAAAAAAATGCTGCTTATTAATGTGACAGTTTACTCACTTTTCCCTCTGGTCATCTCTTTCTCTCCCCCTGACTCCATAATGTGCAGTGATGTCTCAGCGGTGTCCCCGGGTGCCTCACTGACACCGCCGTCACTTGTGGCAGCTTCATTTTCTCCAAACACATCCTGCCCCATTGAAGGTTCAATGTACCACACAGTGCGGTGCAGCTGTATCGATATAATGGGGAGCATCTCGAGGGCAACCTTTCAGCCTAATGACATGCAGCTTTACCTGCTCCAAAATGTCACGGCCTTGAACTGCACTGTGTTCCAGACAGAAAATCTTCCAAGAGATGAGGCTGGGTCTTAACCTTTCGCTTGCCAATTAACCTCCTTTCACGGGGCTTCCTGTCATTACTTAATGGAGACAGAGAAAGGAAAAAAGAAAGCGACAGAAGGACACATGAGGGGACAGAGCGAGGAAGCGCTATTCATTTTTCCAATTTTTGCACAAATCAAATGAAGAGGCAGAACAAAGAAATGTAGCATGCACACAAAGTAGTTGCATTTTTTGCTATTTATATTTATGCCAGCATAGACACACTTTTTGTTCATCTGTCACTGTTAAAAAAAAAAGCAATGACTCCATATCCTGTAAAGCAACCGTGTTGTAAAGCGTGTGTGTATTTATGAGTAATCAGCCTCTTCCTGTCTTAGGTGTGGATGATGGAGCAGATATCCCCAGAGACATGGTGGTGGGAATCTATGAAAGAATACAACAGAGAGAGCTGCGCTCCAACGAAGACCACGTCACCTACGTTTCCAAGGTTGAGCAGTCCATCGTAGGCATGAAAACAGTAAGGACACACTAATATATCTGAGAACGCTTGCTATAGATTCTGTTTTTTTTTAGTTGGATTAATTCACTCAAAGATGAGTGACTTTACACAAAAATGACACATAATGTAGTCACTGAGCTGATTGCCAAATGTGTATATGACTGCGTACGCACACAGACAGACACACTTGTTAACTCCATGCCAAGTCACTCGCTCATTAGTCAAGCTCTTATCACTATCACCTAGCCTTAGTGGCTTTAACAGAGCACATTTATTAGTCATTAAATGTCTCATCAGCAGCTCAATCATTACCTCAGGTCATTACGCGAGCTAGATACATCATTAACCACCGCTATCATTAGACTCATTTTTTAACAGTTTAAGGTTAAAAGACTTTAATGCAACCTCATTGCACATGAACTGAAATATGTATTTGAACATAACTCTGGAGGTTCTTTAGTTAAAAATCAACTTCAGAGACACTTGGTACAGTTTTGTCTGTTTCAGACTGAACAAGCCTGAAGGCAGTAGACTTGGCAGACAGAAATGCAGTCTGTAGCTTTATAACTGACAAATTACACTGATTCATATAGGAATGTACTGTCTGTGCTGGCTCGTAATACTGGAAGGTTTTTTTTTTTAAAAAGCTGCAACAATAAAGAGACTTCTGTTTTAATCCGATCAAAGCTGAAGGCCTCCCTGTCTTATTTTTTTAATGAAATGTAGACAAGACAGACAGATTTTTCCTCATTATTTTATTCATCGTTTGGTTATTCAACACTTCAAACATTGCACCCAAATACTAGAGATAAATTGAGATATTCCTTCAAAATTGAATTCAGGTTCAGTTTATTCAAAGTAAAGTCTCGACATAGCATTGGGCATGCTAGCAGTTTGGGTTTAGCGGTTTAGTCCCAACTGAAATATTGTAGCATGCCTCGTGAAATTTATCAGACATATTTCTGGAGCTGCTGTCCAGTCAAAAAGGGTGGCAGCAAAACTAAAAACCTGCAGATGTAGTTCCCAAGCTCTGCTTTGTAATCACTTGTATTAGCAAAAGTTAGCATGCTACTGTGAGGAGTAAAGTTGTAAAGATTTGACCTGCTCAATGTTACCATGTTGCATTAGTACAGTCATGGCAAAAATAAAGTACACCCTTTTTCAATTCTTTATGCATATAAGTATAAAATTAAAAAAAAAATGTTTTCACCAGATCTGAAAATGATCTATAATAAAGTGAGTGCTAGTCAGTTGGTATGAGGTGTTTGTGCTGATATTCTGTGTTTAGTTTTCACCAGTCGTGGTGATGTGCATTATGGCCAAACATCTCCACTTTGGTGTTGTATGTTTAAAGGCAACCAGATATCATGCTGATCCACCGTGTCCATTATACACTTTTTATTGAAATGTTAAAAGGACACAATTGCAGAAGTTGCAGTAAGCTGTAGTAAAAGCAGATATTTAATTTCAAGCCAACATGAAAATAATCAGAAGAAAGCATTTAAACAGACATTATTAACAAATTTACATGTGTGTATATATATATATATATATTAGCCACTTAGATAAATTGTTTCTGATCACCGAGGACCCTGGAAGGCACTGCATATGTTTTTTGCCTTTATTATCTCCCCCTGATGGTATGCAACTTCTGCATGCAGTTATGCAACTTCTGCATGTGTGTCCGTTTCACATTTTGAAGAGGCAAAGCATGAAATAGACACAATGTACTGTCTATTACAGATTTTTCTGTGATGCGGGATGTTAAAGGGCATGGTTCCGGAGCTCTTGTGGTTTGTTTAAATGCATCTCTGCAAACTAAAGCCATGCTGCCATGTTCTCTTTAGAGAGAAAAGGTAGCCCTTCAATATAAGATATACTTGTTTTCTCTTTTTCGAATTGTTTTGCCCTAAACTTTAACATTTAACATGCTAACTGAAGCCTGTAGCTCTTGGCTTTTTGCAGTTTCTCTGAGCATTGCATGGTCTGACCTTTGGTCATGGATGAATTTTTTTAGTATGTCCAACTCTGGGAACATTAAACGCTGTCTTGAATGTTTTCCACTTGTGAATAATCTTTCTCACTGTAGAATGATGGACTTCAATTTGCATGAAAATGGCCTTATAATCCTTCCCAGATTGATGGACAGCAACACTTGTTTCTTTGAGAACTTTCTTAACTTTCTTCCTTGGCATGTTAAAACACACCTGAATGCTCCAGACCAGCAAACTGCCAATGCTCTGGTTTTAAAGATGTGCTTACACATCTGTTTTGATTATGTCCTGATAAAAAAAAGGTCCAACTTTCTTGGTGCATCCATGTCACAAAAGGAAATGAGTGAGTCTTCATGTTTTAATTAATTTTAAATTCAACACCAATTATAGCAGTTGCTTCCAAATGACATTGACTTTGAAAGTATTCCCTCCACCTTTTTATTCCGGCTTACGCCTTTAAGTGTCTCTTAGTGATCGATGAGTAGCCATAGGATGACAGAGGGAGTGCTGTCAAAGCCAAAACAATGATGGATTGTTGTGATAGGAAGTGACTGTTGCTGCCAATGGCGGCCGTCTGCTATAAAAAGAACGAGTCTTAAATAAAGTTTCTTCTGTGGAAATAATAACCCAGCCAACAGTCTCTGTACTCTGAATTCTAAACGCCTTATCTACTATTGCTCCAGAAGTGGCACACAAATATGATGAATTTTCCTGTATAGCTAGTAAATAATTGATGATTTGGTGAAAGCTGTATTACAGCCTTTGATGAATGAGATGACGTAGCTTTATATCTAAACATGTGAATATTTTTTTTTATATTTGTTTTTATTTTATTTTATTTGAAGTCAATCATTTGCCTATAAATATATTGGCATCTCTTTTCAAGCTGTTTCTTAATAATACTTTTTTTTTTTTTTTAAATGAGCAGGAGGCATTTCAGGCTAATGATGTCTTTACATGTTTCTGACATTAGTATAATGAGAAAGCAGGCTGGCTGTGGAAGGCTGGGCTCGAGTCGGTATACCCTGCAGTGATGAGAGAGCAGAAGAAAAGGAGACAGAGGCTATGTGTGTGTACTCCATGCATTGCAAATTATTCTCTCAGAGCAGAGGGAAGGAAACTTTGAAATGCACACAGGGAAAATTGCACAGGGGCTGTGTATATTTGTGTTTTACCCTGAAGAGGGATCAACTCCACATCTACTCTGCTGCTTTTTGGATTTTTGCAGGACACAGAAAGCTGGACCAGACAAGGCAGAGACAAGTGTGTGTGAAAGGGTGACAACATGATTGGATCAGTCCTCCGAAGGCAGTTTGTTTTGTT